GGCGAAACCCAGCTCTACTAAAAAAAATTAGCCAGGCATGGTGGCAGGTGCCTGTAATCCCAGCTACTCTGGAGGTCGAGGCACAAGAATTGCTTGAACCCAGGAGGCAGAGGTTGCAGTGAGCCGAGTTGGTGCCACTGCACTGCAACCTGGGTGACAGAGCAAGACTTCATCTCAAAAATAAATAAATAAGGCCAGGCATGGTGGCTCACACAGGAATCCCAGCACTTTGGGAGACCGAGACAGGTGGATCACAAGGTCAGGAGTTCAAGACCAGCCTGGCCAAGATGGCGAAACCCCATCTATACTAACAGTACAAAAAAATTAGCTGGGTGTGATGGCGGGCGCCTGTAATCCCGGCTACTAGGGAGGCTGAGGCAGAGAACTGCTTGAACCCAGGAGGCGGAGGTTGCAGTGAGCCAAGATCATGCCATTGCAATCCAGCCTGGGTAACAGAGCGAGACTGTCTCAAAAAAAAAAAAAAAATTATATATATATATATATATACACACACACACACACACACACACACACATATATATAAAATAATTGTATAGCTTAACTGAGGCTGTAAGATGGAAGAAAAAGGCCAATGAAAATAGTGAAAATATTTACATTCTTAAATATCTGTTATAGGGAATCTACAATTTCAGTGAGGTTTTGTATACTTCAAAGTAAATCTGTGTTTTTCTTCGTAATCTTTAACTTAATATGTAATTGTATAATGCTAGTGTTTGATTCCCCAATTTCTCAGCTATACCAACTACAATGAATTCCTTACATGGCTGTGTCTGCTTTTTTCTGTTCCCATATTCTGTTACACCACAAGGCCTCCAAATCAATCTGTAAGCAAGTCTGATAGAGTATAAAGATTCTTTACTTTGTGGTTTATGGCTCCAGCTTCACAGTTCTAGTGACTGCCTAAAATTGAAAGCAGAAATTTGCAATGTGAATTTCTCTGGGAAGAGAATTTATAGCTTTCATCAAATTCTCATGGGGATCTGCGATTCTCTCCAAAGATTAAAAATCCCTGGTTGAGAGAAAAAAAGAATACTGAATCAGTTGTCGGGAGACCTCATTTCTACAAGTATAGTTCTACCACAGTTTTTTAATTTATAAGTTTTTACATCTATTCTCACTGCAGTCTTTAAGAAGGCAGAAATTGTCTTCATTTTACAAGTGAGAAAACACCTAGAGCTAGAGAAACAGCCAGTACCAAAATCCAACTTTACTGGATTCTAATTCATTTTCTCTTCTGCCTCTATTCAAAAACAGTGGAACAAATAGAAGGTACTCTCGCATTTTGAAAATAACTGGTTAGTTGTAACACCTACCCTGGTGCTTTTCTTTAATTGGGCTGTGACATAATAAGAAATACATGTTTGGTCTCAGCTCCCCCGTACCTGAAAGAGCTCCTAAAACCCCTGACATTTCCTGAGTGATAGGAGTGTCTTACACAGAACTTCTAAACCCCTTGGGATTTCCTAGGTTATAAGAGTGCCTTTGGTTTTAATGATGCAACTCTTGGTGGGCTCCTGGATAGCTTTAGAGTGGGGGCTACTAGTGACCAAGCCGTGATTAGAGGATTAGAACTTTCAGCCCCATTCCCCATCCTCCAGGGAGGGAAGAGGGCCTGGAGATTGAGTTAATAGTCGATTATGGCTATGTGATGAAGCTTCCACAAAAAGTCCTAAACTACAGGATTTGGTGAGCATCTAGGTTGGTGACACATCCACAGACCAGAAGAATAGTGCACTCCAACTCCAAGGGAACAGAAGCTCCTATCTTGGGATCCTTATGGACATCACCCTATGTACCTCTTCAGCTGGCTATTCATCTGTATCCTTTGTAATATCCTTTATAATAAACTGGTAAATGAGAGTGTTTCCTTGAGTTCTATGAGCCATTACAGCAAATTATCAAACTTGAGTAGGGAGTTGTGGGAACCCCCAATTTGTACCAAGTCAAACAGAAGTGTGGGTACCCTGGGCACCCAATACTTGTGACTGATATCTGAAGTTGGGGGCAGTCTTGTCATACCTGGGTAGTGTCAGAGTGGAATTAAATTGTAGGACATTCAGTTGATGTCTGCGGAGAATTGGAGAATTACTTGGTGTGGAAACCCCAGACATTTCGTGTCTGAAGTATTTTGAATAGTGGAACAGTTTTCCTTTATTGGCACATCTTTTTATGGTTTCCTGGAGCCCTCATTATCATCTCTAAATTATTTGTTTTTAAACCAAAGTTTCAAAGACAATTGGGAGTCTTTATCCATTTGTTTAAACATTTTATGAGGCCCACTGATGTGTTTTCCAGCATGTAGCCATTGTAAAGCAACCTTTTATTACTAAAGCTTGGGCGTGTTTCATTGAAACTTGTAGTTTGGTGCAGTTGAAAAAGCATTGCACTGAAATCTAGATGATGTGGATCTAGTTTTGACTTTGCATAATTTCAGGCAGATTATTTTACTTCTCTGCACTCAGGGATTCTCATCTAGGGGCTGAGTAGCAATATTTAAGAATGAACCAGCTTCCCCCCCTTCTTTTTTTTTTTTTTTTTTTTTTTTGAGACAGTCTTATTCTGACTCCAGGCTGGAGTGCAGTGGCACGATCTCAGCTCACTGCAACCTCTGCCTCCTGGGTTCAAGCTATTCCCCTGCCTCAGCCCCCTGAGTAGCTGGGACTACAGGTGCGTGCCACCATGCCCAGCTAGTTTTTTGTATTTTAGTAGAGATGGGATTTCACCGTGTTGGCCAGGATGGTCTCCATCTCCTGACCTCGTGATTCACCCACCTCAGCCACTTCCTATCTCTGCCACCAAGAATTTAATTGTATATCATCTCCCACCTCCAGACTCATCATTGCTAGGAGTGGCCCGCTGTTTATGTTATAATTCAGGTGTGCTGGGGTTGAAAAAGTCTGAATACTATTTATTTCAGAGCTCTCTTCTAGCTCTGATTAAAGTTGATCAAACCTGAGCTGCCCAGAGTAGGTTGAATGGGTGGTAAACCACCTGGTTTGGTTTGAGAGGGGCTCACAAGTTTTTTTCAGAAATATATCTCCTCTGGATTGTTTAGACTCTTTGGATTAAGGATTATTTGTGCTGAAGTCCCCTTTAAAAGGTAAATACTCCCAAGAAGATTAACTCATTTATTAACCTAATAAGATCACTGAATGAGGAAAGATCATGTTTACTGGAGAAGAATAGGTTACAGAAAAGCTGAGCAATGAGTCCTGCCCGAGGGAGGAAGAACTGAGTGGTTCACTGACCTAGTAGGAGCATGAGAATCCTGGGGGTTTGGAAAATAAGGTGCCACAAGGCCAGAAATGGCACTGAAAGGAAAGATCCAAAGGTACAAATTCAGATTAACCTCATGTGCTTCCTAACCTTACCTATGTAGGGTTTCTGCCTGGGAAACATATACTCTATATTTTTAAATCCATATTTTTCCATTTATTCCTTACCCTATGTACCTCTTCAGCTGGCCATTCATCTATATCCTTTTTGTCAAATTCATTTTGTTGATTTCAACTTCACTTTTGAGCTGTCAATTCCGAATCATGATTCTGTCTTATAGCCTAGTGGCCATTCTTCCTAGGAGCAAATCATCCACAAATTTATTAAGTGTACGTTCTGTGTTTTGATCTAAGTAACTAGTTCTTCATCTTGGATTCAGGGAGTCTGCAATTCACCCAAAACTATATGTGACACATTGTATGTATAAGCATTTTTCAATGGAGATGGGTTTAGAGTTTTCAGCAGATTCTCAAGGTGATCCATGACCTCAGAAAAAGGTTACAAGACACTGATCCAACTATTCATCAGTATTTTGAACAGAACAGTAGTAATAAGGACAGAGCTCTGTAAGAGTACCAGTAGTGCTTTCTTTCCTGGACTGCACTGATCCATCAAAAATATGTGGGTGTAAATGTTGACTATTACATGTCAGTCTCTTGTGATTTGCCTCTATCATAAAAGTGGAAAGGAAAAATGAATTCCAGCTACATGAGCATTCTGGTAATTGAGATGTTTACACTGTTGTTTACTTTTTAATCTCTAAATATTAGGTCATTCTTAAGACCCTCATCATTTTGCTTCTTGCATCCATCAGACACCATATATCATAGTATCATATTTAGTGTGAATAAAATTATAGATGCTTCAGAACTCCCTGACATTTTCTGAAAATTGACAAATTAAAGAAAATGCAGAAATAAAAGCTTGCTGGGGGCCGGGCGCGGTGGCTCAAGCCTGTAATCCCAGCACTTTGGGACGCCGAGGTGGGTGGATCACGAGGTCAAGAGATCGAGACCATCCTGGTCAACATGGTGAAACCCCGTCTCTACTAAAAATACTAAAAATTAGCTGGGCATGGTGGCGTGTGCCTGTAATCCCAGCTACTCAGGAGGCTGAGGCAGGAGAATTGCCTGAACCCAGGAGGTGGAGGTTGCGGTGAGCCAAGATCGCGCCATTGCACTCCAGCCTGGGCAACAAGAGCGAAACTCCGTCTCAAAAAAAAAAAAAAAAAAAAAAAAAAAAAAAAAACAAAGAAATAAAAGCTTGCTATCTCTTCTCTTCATGGCTCTAGACAAGCATAATGTTAATTTCCATTTTAACTAGCCTTAAAACTTACCAACTCTACCTCAATCAGTGTATGGTTATGATCTATATAGAAAGAGTTTACAATTTAATAAAATCCTTTACATGAAAATCTGAAAGTGATAAATGAGAAACTCATTACATCATTTAAAAAGGATTCACCTTAGAAGGAAGTGAGACACAAAAAAGTACATATTATATCATCCCATATGTATGAGGGCCAAGAAAAGGCAAAGTTAATCTCCAGTGACAGAAAACAATGATTGATTGCCTAGGTGCAAGACAACGGTGGGATTGCACAAAAGGGCATGAAGGAACATTTTGGGCTGATGGAAATGTTTTTTCTCTAGCTGGGTGTGGTGGTTTCATGGGTATGTACTCTATCAACACTCATCAGTTTGTACACTTTAAATGTGTGGTTTATTATGCATAAATGCAATGTCAAGAAAGTTTTTTATTAAGGTACTGGCAATGAGATGTTATTGAATATTATTTATTGAGCCTTAAAGTAAGATTTAAAATATAATTGATTCCACAAGTGAAAAGGTAAGTCTATCTATAAGTTTCTTCTAGGTGAAATGTGAGTTAAATATGATCATGGAAAAGCTTTTTAATAGGAGAAGAAGTGATATCAGTGCATTTTAGTAATATTTAGCATTCCTACAAGATTGGTATCACTTTATTAATGTGAAATATACGAGCAGTAAAACAGATTATTTAAATTATTAGTTGAAATTATCTAAAATAGATCGTAAGTGTTCATTTAGAACACTTTTCTCATCTGCCTTTCAAAGCAGTTAACGCCAGACACAGTGATAACATAACTCATTCAAAACTAAATTGTACATTACCTGTGATATCAACATTTTGTGTTCACTGAAGGAAAATTATATTTGAAAATGTTTGGTGGTACATTATTTGACATTTAAAGTTGTGTGTGTGGTGGTATTGTTTTGAGATGGAGTCTCACTATGTCACCCAGGCTGGAGTGCAGTGGTGCAATCTCAGCTCACTGCAACCTCCGCCTCCCAGTTCAAGCAATTATCCGGCCTCAGTCTCCTGAGTAGCTGGGATTACAGGCATGTGCTACCATGCCCAGCTAATTTTTGTATTTATAATAGAGACAGGGTTTCACCACATTGGCTAGGCTGGTCTCAAATTCCTGACCTCAGGTGATCCACATCAGCCTCCCAAAATGCCAGGATTACAGGTGTAAAGCTGTGTTAATTTTTAAGTTTGCCATGCTCAGATATTTGATACCAGCGTGACTTCTTGGAAAATCTAATATGGGGAATGAAGCATTAATTATAAGACCTGATTTGAAATGCTACGTACCAATTAAGACATATCCTTTACATATTCTTCTCTATTGTATTGGGAGAAAATTTTCCAATCTATGAGATAATGGTGATGAATTATTTTCTTAGTGGTCAATATAAAAATGAATGGGGAACTATTCCTAGAAATAATATTGAATCTAATTAATGCCACCTTTTCATATGTGCATGTGGAACATAAGAGTAGCTAAAAAGAGGCTGGGCACGGTGGCTCACACCTATAATCCCAGCACTTTGGGAGGCCCAGGGAGGCAGATCACAAGGTCAGGAGATTAAGACCATACTGGCTAACACGGTGAAACCCCGTCTCTACTACAAATACAAAAAATTAGCTGGGTGTTGTGCCACGTGCCTGTAGTCCCAGCTACTCAGGAGGCCAAAGCAGGAGAATCACTTGCACCAGGGAGGCGGAGGTTGCAGTGAGCCAAGATTGTGCCAATGCACTCCAGCCTGAGTGACAGAATGAGACTCCATCTCAAAAAAAAAAAAAAAAAAAAAAAAAAAAAAAAAAAAAAAAAAAAGGGAGAGAGAGAAATAAGATTTTCTGAAATAACACAGGTACTGTTGCAAAACTCTTTCAACTAAGTTAGAAATCACATGCCTTGTCATTTGCTATGCTTACATGTTAGTAAAATTCTGAGTACTCTACATTAGTAATGCAGGAACACTTACACTGATTTAGTAGTTATCTTGGCATGTTTATTCTGGATTCATAGTAGGAATGAGCACCTTGTTAGAAGAAGGTTGGTAAAAATGGAGGGAGGAGGTGGAGGTTGGTTAGGTTGTCTGAATTCTAAATGGCAGTAATGGGTAAGTAATGGGTTCCTTAATGATTAATGCTGTACTTAGACCACTAAGCCTATGCCTTAACCACTCCCTTTTCATCTTCACTTAAGGGTTCAACTACAACCTCAGGCTCTGGCTCTGGCTCTGGCTCTGCCTCCTCCGGCTCTGGCTCCGGCTCTGGCTCCAATGCTGACTGCAGATTTGGCTCTGGCTCCAGCTCCAGCTCGATGTCAAGGTTAGGCACTGCCTTCGGCTCTGGTCCTGCGGCAGGCTCCTGAGTAGGCTTTGGCTCATAGTCTGGTTCTTGGATGGTATCAGGGCCAGTCTCATGAATGGAAGGTGGTAGAGTTGCTTCTACTTGGGTAGCATCTTCTGTTGACATTGTTTCCCTTTCTTCCCTGGCGTTTATATTTGTCATTGGCCTGCAAGAAGGAAGGCCCAGAAAAGAACAAGTTAGAGAGATGCTAACTTTGAAATTTCATGTGGAAACGTATGCTCTGTAGCTTCAATGATCATAGGTCCCAGACTTCAGGAAATCTGTTATTTCTGATATTCTGACTCATTGTCAGGTCATATGTCATTTTGGATTCAGAAAGGTTAGGTCTCAACAATATAATGAAAGTTTAAGAAAGACCAGTGTTTAAAAGGTGGGAAAACTGATGTTAGAATGAAAGAGTCTAAGAATCTAATAAGGTCTTTAAGGGCCAAATCCATATCTCTAACCCATCTCTATTTCCAACTCCATCTAATACAATACTTGGCACCTGATTGATATCCAATATATAGTTGCAGAAGCAAGGAGATGAAAAAATTAATGACTGTGATACACACTAGGGAAGAAATAGTGATTAAGAGCATGGGCTGTGGGCTGGGCCACATTCTAATGTGTGCCCTGGGCACTTTTGTCCTTGTGGGTCTCTTGTTCCATTAAAAAATGTTTAAAATTATATTTCATAACTATGTTGGTATAAAGACAAGTATGTTAATGTTATATATTAAAACATTTTTTTGGACCTAAAACGGTTGTTGTGATAGTTAAATGAGCTGATGTACATAAAGTGCTTAGAACAGAGCCTGGCACACAGCACTCAGTAATCATCATTCTTTTTTAAAAGCAGTGAGGGCAAACAGAAAGATACCTCTGATATCTTATGCTAAACGGAGTGCTTAGGAATTGCTGACTGAAAGAGACATGGCTGAGAAATGTCTGTATTGAAGACAACAAAATGAAGGCTTACTCAAGTTCCGCGACGGTCTTAGAATTTCTCTTCCTTTCTTTTGCCTTATTCCTTGCAAAGCACACAACAGAGATGATGATGGCCGCACCTACCAGGCTTCCAATCAAGGCCCCAACAATGACTCCAACTTCTGGATCTGAAGGATGCAAGCAGCCGGTTAATAAAGTGGAATGTATTGTCATTTTATAATGTGTGTTTGTGAGCAGTGGGAAATATCAGGGCCATTCATCTAGCAGGAAAATGACTTGTATAGGCTAGGGAGATGGAAACCCCTAGAACTCTGTCATTTGCACTCACAGTGGGAGACGACTATTGGTATTTTTGCACATAAAGAAGAAAATGTGCCATCTTGGAGGATATAGGGTTGCTTTTGAAATGGGATTTAGAGACAAGAGTCTTGAGACACTATGGAGTTGTGATCTGGTGACTAGAGATAAGCCTGTGTTATAGGCGGGGGCATTTCACTAGGCTTGTCCAGAGCACGGGTGAAACGGGTCCCTGAAAACCTCCCCCATGGCATCCATGTTTACCAAGGAACCTCATGCATTCTGGTCACTGGGAACGGATGTGCCTGTTTTCATAAACAGGCATCTGGTTTATTGTCTAAGTCCGTGGACAAACGTAGTGAGTATGAGACTATCCAGCTGAGCAGCAGACCTTCAGGTCCTGAAGTGTTGTCTCTGGAAGACTGTATCTAGGTTATAAGCCAATCCATCTCCATCTGCCCCCCCTCACACAAGGATGGAGATCTTATATTTTGAGCTGCCTGATAATAATTCCTTTAACTTTTTATGATGAAGAGCATATATGTGAATAGTTTAAAACGTCAAATCGTTCTATATCTCTCACAAAAACAGCAGTTCCCTGCCTGACTCCTTCCCATCCCTGAGTCCCATTCAGGAAAGGCAACCACTCTGAATGCTTTTTTAAAACCTCCTTGCCCCCATGTTTTTATTATGCTTGCTCTGATGTGTCCTACCTTCTTCCATTTCCATCAGTTTCTTTCAACTGCCTACCCTAGAAATTGGAGATTGAGCTCTTTTACACCACTCCACTCACACCCACAATGTTCTTCCAAAATAGTTCTGTCACAAGTTTTAGTTCAATCCAAGTTTGCAGTAGTATGACTGTGTAAATATCATTCACAGCTGAGGAACACCGTATACTATGATTTTTTCTAGTACAACATCTACCAAAATGTTCCTGAAGGTTAATAATTGCCTCATGTGGGGATTAATAAATGCATTATCACTCATCCCAAAATTTCTAACAAAACCATTAAACTTCTTTCAATTAATTCAAACATATCAGATGATATATCAGTTTCTTGTGATTTTTCCCTCAGAGACATGCCATGTGAAGCCCTCCATTCTCTTGCCCCATCATGAACTGGTTGCCTTCCTAAGCCTGCTGCTCTATGATCATCCTTCAACCTTCCCATTTTATGGATAAAGAGGTTTTGCCAGTTCCTTCAAGATCCTGCTCAAATAGCATTTGGTTGGTAAAGCCATCCCAGTCCTATAAGCGTAACTGGTCCTCTCTTGGTGCTCTGTTCAGACTTCTGTTATAGCATTTAGCACATTTTAGTTGTTTGTCCCTCTAGCTGAACTGTGAGTTCCTTGAGTATAGGCCATACATCTTCTTAATCTCTGTATCTCTATCACGTAGGACAGTCCCAGGCATGCAGTAGATATTTAATAAATATTTGAGGAAGGAAGAAAGAAAGAAGGGATGTGGGAGGGAGGGAGGCAATGCTGGGCATCGTTGGAAAAAGACTAGAAAGAAAACAATGCTCAAGTCCAAATCCTACATGTCTCTACATCTGCAGTATGATTGTACCTCTGAGAAGGCAAAAAGGATTGAGGGAATTCTAAAGAAAGATAACAGAAATGATGCAGGAAAAATAGCTGAAAGTAATATGAGAATAAAGGAGTAAACTTCAGGACAAATAAAAGGAAGAAAGCTCAGCTGCACAGGAAGAGCAATAACCCACTGGAACTTGCCACCCCTGGGTATGGCATATATTAAAACCAAAAATTCAAAGTAAGTTAGAAAAAGGAAACAAGATCCGAAGTGTTATTAAGTGATCCTTGAGATCCATCTCACCCAAACACGGTGAGACACTCCTTGAGAGGTTGCCCGTGGGTCGGCTCAATTGCACAATTCCAGAACTCTTAAATCTTATTCTCAGAGAGTGAGTAAGTGCCTTCGAATAGAAAAATTGAGGTTTAGAGGCATCCTGGCTCTGCCAGTTACTAACTGGATGACCTTGAGCAAATTATTTACTTCCCTGAGTTTCAGTGTTCTTTTCAGTAAATTGAGACTGACGAACGTCTGCCACCCTAGGTAGGGGTGGTTAGGAGGAAAGAGTAAGTTAATACTCAGATAGCACCTGGTGGAGTGTCTGGCATATAATTCGTGCTCCACAAATATTAGCTACCATGATTGTGGGTGTGAGTGTTATTATTATAATACTATAGTTATTACTGGCAGATCTTTGCAAGGTATATGTTTGTCAGAGCTACAGTGTGACCTGGATTTACCAACAACATCACAAAGAGAAATTCAGCCTGCTGCTATCAGAAAGGCTGCTGTTTTATTATTGAATAGTAATACCTACCTTCTAGCGATTTTGTAAAGGTTAAACAGATTGCTTTTTGTAAAGGATTTAGGGCAGCCTGTGGCATATATTATTATGTGAGCATTAGATATTAGCATCATCATTCATCATATCAACCTGTAAATAAAGCGCACAAATCTCCAGAGAAGAAGGAAGCACTAACCAATGATCCTAATTTAGTTGGCTGACAGGCCCAGACTACTTGATTTAAGGAAAAACTCTTCAAGTTGTATGGTCAACTCACGTGAAGAAGTGAGATCAATTACGCAGGAACTATTGCCAAGTCTGTTGATGGCAGTACACTGGTAATAACCTTGTTCAAAATTTGTCAGATTTCCAATGACCAAAATCCCTGTGGCTGGGTCTGTTGAAAACAGGAAATAGACTTTTGAGATCTCTTCTGCGAGTACAGATAACATCAGTGTAACAGATCATTCAATGTCCACCCACTCCCCCGTATTGGCCTTCCTTTCTTAAGATGTTTAGGATTCATCTAGGCCTCTTGGGACTGTTCCAATGGTAACCCACCTGGGACCATGCCTGTTCCCTAAATACTCACCACCTCTGAGCTGGCTTTTAGAATTTGGGGAGTAGATCAGACCACAATCATCATGTTGGGAGACAGGCATTCTTTTTACATTATCCCCCACCCCTACCTGTCACCAAGAAAACAAGAAGATTGAACTGTAAGGTCAAGCAGCCAACCACACACTCCTACTGTTATCCAACCACAGACACCAGGTCTTTCCAGGGTCTACTGCAGGTTACACTTACTGAAGTTTTCTTTCACTGGCACGATGTCTTTTCCCTCAAGTTTATGCCAGTAGTACACAGGGGAAGGTGTTCCAAGTGCAGAGAGACAGGAAAGGGAAATAGTGTGGCCAGTTTCTGGTCTTCCTTGAATGCTACAAAGGGGCTTAGAAGGTTTCACTGTAAGGCAATGACAAAGAATAAAAATTCTTTAGGATGAATGGCAGTCTGTGACAAGTGCAGTCACTTCCTCACTTTCATTTTGCAGAATATGTGTGTTTATTTATTTTTTTTTTTAAAAAAATTATTGGCTGGGCAAGGTGGCTCATGCCTGTAATCCCAGCACTTTGGAAGGCCAAGTCAGGAGTTCGAGACCAGCTTGGCCAACATGGTGAAACCCTGTCTCTACTAAAAATACAAAAGTTAGCCGGGCATGGTGGCAGGTGCCTGTAATCCCAGCTACTTGGGAGAATGAGGCGGTAGAATCATTTGAACCTGGGAGGTAGAGGTTGCAGTAAGCTGAGATCTTGCTACTTCACTCCAGCCTGGGAGACAGAGTTAGACTGGGTCTCAAAAAAAAAAAAAAAAAAAAAAAAAAGAAGAAGAAAATGTATTTTGTCAGTTTTCTGCTTGCACCACCAGGTGGGAGTAGAGCACTTCACTTCAGGTGCACGGCACTTCTAGTCAACAGATCATTACGATTCAAATAGTGACTCCTCTGTCTGCCTCCTCCAGAGATTTATAACCATGAATTTCCGCATTGTGTCTTAAAATATGCCTTTTTAAAAACAGCCAAATATAAACAAATACTGAATGACTAGGAACATAGTTTATACTTTAAAAGCACAGTTTTAAAGGAAAATAGAATCCTTAAATACTCTGAAATAACCTATTATTTATTCTTTTAAAAACATTTTGTTAATGCTGTATTTCTCTTTTCTCTTATGAGTCTTTTCTTTTTTGCATTTATTCGTCTTTGGGTGACACAAAACAGTTGAAAGGTTTGAATTTGCCCATGTGCATCATCAGTAGGGGAAGCCTATTTTGGGGATGCATGCTACCCAGCACTGAAATTTTTGTTCATCCTTCACTCAGCAAGCAGCCATGCCTTCTGTGGGTCTGGCATGGAACTAGGCGCCAGGAATTCAAAAGCAACTTTGACACAGTTGTAAAGTGGTGTGGGAGAGGGATGAGGGATGACTTTAGAGAGGGAAAGAGGCCTCCAAGACCACAGCAGGAGGAGCAGGTTTTAGGAGAAGGGGTGACAGGAGCAAGGGGTACTAATGAGGTCAGTTTGGGACATAGAGTTTTAGCTGCTCATGAAAACACATCAAGGGAGAAGTCCTGTGGGAAGCTGGGAATATGAATCTCCTCATTCATCTTGCTTTGCACAGTTTATTCTATCTTATATATCTTATACATTTATCTTATGTATAGTATCTACATATTTATCTTGTATCTCTTAGCTATCTTAGATATTTATATCTATATATCTATCTTATACACCTTACATATCTATCTTATATACAGATAATGGAATAAATTTCTATACTTCCCAACTCACCATCCTTATCTTCATTTGGCTCTAGAACCCTTCAAAGGCTTAGATTCTCTAATTTAGATGAGTTGGATATGAAATGTGTCATACTGCTCAGCCCTGCGCTCTTACCTGAGAAGCAGTGGTTAAGGGCACAGCTCTGGATCCACACAGAATACTGGCTCTGTAACTCTACCCTGGATCTGTGTAGGCAAGTTACCAAACTTAGCCAAACTTCAGTTGACTCATCTGTAAAATGTGACTAGGAGATTGTCTGACCTCTGGCTGATCCAAAGATTAAATACAATAATATATATAGGGCCTAGCACCTGGAATTTCTGTTGGCCACAGCAGGACTAATTCCTGCTCCTAATCTCCCATTGACTTCTGCTCAGCTCAGCCATCTCAGGCTCTCATTATCTGTACACAGGAACGAGAAGATGGATGCATATAGCTATAATTCTGAAACATTTCACTAGCCCTATCTTTCAAAAAAAGTGTCTTTTAATTAAATAAACTATCCTTCTACTTAGTTCTTTATTCTCTCTTTCTTACCAATGATTTTCTCTGGTAGGAATAACTTCTTGGATTTGCCTATCCTAAACTAAGCTATTTAGCCAGAAGTCCATTGGAGCTATCACTAGATTTAGATACCACCTTTTTTTAAAGATGGCTATTTTATAGCCTTTACAGCAGAATAGAAAAATTTGAACAGAAAATTAAATGGGGGTGTTTCATCACAAAGCTGGACACCAGGACTTGAACTAAATTACAGCAAAAACCGGGAATGAGTTGCACGATCTATTTCCTCCTTTCTTGTGATATATGCACACAGCTTGAGAGGAGCAATGACTAGGTCAGCTCCATTTGGGGCTACCTAGAGGTGGGAAAATGCTCATCTCCACTGGTCTGTCTGTAAGGGTTGAGGATTGGCAGCTCTTTCATCCCTTGCTTTGAAACTTCCCAATCCTAGACTGCAGATGGGAGCTTAGCCCTCATTGTCCTCTCAGACAGAGGATGGAATGACTTCTAGAAATGGCCAAAATTGGAAGCTCTCCAAGGGCAAAAACAACACCTCCATCACTGTAACTTAATAAATACTGAACAAGCGAGATCCCAAATTCATTTTAAGAGCAGATATGGCTTGCTCAATATCCTATAATGAATATTTGTATGTAGATACCTTGATTCTCTACACTAGATTAATGTGTAGTCCTTTTTCCAAATAGTATTAGCATTTTAAAAAGGCACCTTCCTTCCTAAAAGGAATAAGTTGACAGTATTCTCCCCCAGGTAGCTTTGGCTGTAAATGGAGGTTTCCTCTGAAAGAGTTGCTAGTGATCATTTTGTGGGACAGTGGGTTGTCCCATCTATTCTCATTCCATTCCTCAGAGATAGGGATCCCTGGAGGTTGGGTCACCTACTGCTGTCATTTTTGCAGTCCTTTTGCACAATTGTTTCTGCATGTTTGATGAGTAAGTTTTCAGTGTTACTATATGGGTTGGGCTGGTGTCTTGTCTCTATTTCCCTGATAATGAAAGGATTAGGCAGTATATTTGCCTACAGAGACTTAATTGGCATCATAATTCACTGCCCTGGCTCATTCAATGTCTTAACTTGTTCCAAGAAAAGAAAAGGCAGAAAAAAAAAAGCTCATACCTAACACAGTGACGTTGAGGACACCTTGGTTTTGGCCGAAAAAGTCTGGAGGGTTGTTAACATCACAGATGTAAATTCCACTGTCTGCTGGCTGTATATGCGAGATAGTGATAGATGCATTACCTGGATCGTTGGACCCTATAATTCGATCTTTAAATTGCCCAATGTCAACAGCTTGTCCACCTTGAGAAAAGTAAATCTAGAAAGAAAAATAACAGAAATGAGAACTGGAGAGTGTCCAAGACTAGGATAAGCTACCTGAAATCTTCTTCTAAACACATTACCTTCGATAAAGAAGCAGCTTCTTCCCCCCACTAGGTCCCTGTGGCCAAGATTTCTCAACTCTGTGAGGCACTTTAGTTTGCTCGCAGCTGTGCATTTGGTCCTCAGAGCAGCTCTGTGATGTCATCAGGGCAGAGATTAGTGTGCCTGTCTTACAGGGGGGGGGGGCAGCTGGAGCTGACAGGATGCAACACCTAAGCTTGGGCTAGGATATCAGGATGCTCGCTTAATGACTGTACCTGAGAGAAATTCATTATATAGAACACAAATGTCTGATGGGAAACCAAAACCATCATTTTTTTTTTTACATTTCATAAACTTTAAAAAATTTTTATTTACCTTACCCAGTGAGACTATCTGGTTTCCGTAAATGTTCAAATGTTCATGCTCCTTTCAGACAAATGTACTCTTTTGGATAGGCAAACCTGGGTTTGTTTTGTTTATTAGAAGCAAAGCAGAAAAGTGTCTTAGAAATCATCTGGTCTCATCCCTTTAAAGAGGTGTTGTGATGATGAAACCAAAAAATCTAGTCAAGGACCTCAGAAGTGCTCAGCCATTGATAGCTACCATCTTTCTCCCCATGTGGCAGGAGGCAGAACTGGAATTCTTCTGTCATTTAAGCAAATAAGGCAACTCAGACCCGGAGAGATTAAATGACCCATCTAAGACACAAGGACTCATTTATTATTATTATTATAACTTATTACACTTAAGATCTGGATTCTAGTCCCATCTCTATTAGAGAGCATAGTTAGATCATAATGGCAACTATGGGAGCAGCATGATGTGGTGAATTTCATGCTGCTCCCACAGTTGCCATTATGATCTATTTATGGTGTAGGGGTCAGGCAGCCTGAGTTAGCCACAGCTCTGCCTCTCACTGTGACATAGTTAGGGGAGGTGGCCTCTAGTCATGCCTCCATGGCAACCTGGTTTTAGATAAGAAACAAAGGTATTTAATCTCTCCAACCTTTACTTTCCACATCTGAATGGGAAAACAGAGTAATGTTTTCCAAAGTATGATATGTATTTATCAAGTATAGGTATTTAAGTTGATTTTAGGTAGTATATAAATGAAAACGTACAAATTTGCATGTGTATTAGAAAGATAAATATCTAGCACCTTAAATATATGACTTCCTGAATGTTGTTGCTTAGGGTAGATTAAGGTAAGTATTTTTTAAGATATTAAGAAACCAAGTCAATACAGAAAATAACATTAAATAATAAATAGTGCTGGTGATACACAAATATGACAAAAATCATGTAGATGCTACATGAGTGATTGAAGCTAGGGAATCACTGGTCTAGGTAGTTCTTGAGGTCCTTTCATAATACACATCTTCTATGTATGCACTTTGTTAGTTTCATGTAATCGTATGTTACTCAAGTGATTGTTATTGTTCAATAAATTGTATTGTCCTAGTCTCGTGAGACTAATATTTTCATAAAATCTACTGGAAGGCCTTACAGTTCATTTAATTATCTTCCTTCACTTTAGAAACCAAAGCCCAGAGAGGTTAAAAAATAAAAGACATGACGCAGGAGCCGGTGCAGGGGCAGTCGACAGAGGGAAAATTAATTAATTAATTAATTAAGAAATAAAAGATACAAAATCGACAGTTGAGACAGATCTGGAATCCAATTTTCCTAATTCCTTGTACTGTGAGCTCTACCTTGATAGGGCAATAAAAGAGGGAAAGCAATTAGAAAACCAGAAGATATTGCCTTGATGAATTCAAATGTATTCTCCTTTAAGCAGAAAGTCAACACATTTTAAAAGTAAGGCAGAAAGCTGGATTTTGAGGGAAAATCCCAGGAAAAGAGAACATTTACAGAGAAAACCGTTTCTCTCCGCTGTTTTTCCTAACATCAATGTGCTTTCTTGCCTGCATTACAAATGCAGCCATTTGTAATTCATTCATTCACACCTACTGAAATCACAAACTCTTGCCCCAGAATGGTCTTGCTTGACTTCCAAACCAGAAAGCCAGAATTAACTGAAGGTATACAAGTGGGACAGAAGCAGGTTCAACTCATCAGAGGATTACTGTCATTTGAGTTGACACTCACACTATTAGGCTTTCCATTTCACTATGTAGCGTGGGCTTATTTACTTCCTATTTGACAGTTTGAGGTCCTGTTTTTTTCTTACCCGGAGTTTAGTCTGTTGTCCATCAAAAGAGCCTTTTACAGCCTCAACATCTGGCCACGTCCCCTCCTCCCAAGAAGACTGTGGACAGTGTAAAACATCAGCCCTGTTTTATGCTGATGCTTGATGACATCACAATGAGATACAACGGTCAGTCCTGCCTGAGGCCCACAGCAAGTCCCAGAGGAGCCAGGTGAAAAGGACCTTATTTCTGTAGAGATCATGAGGCCAAAACAGTGTGTTTTAGGGCAGAATTCGGATATGAAAAGAAGCCACTGTAAAAGTTCCACAGTTGGATATAAGTCAAGGTCAAATAAGCATATAAGCAATGAGGCCCTGGACCTTTACCTATGAAAAAGACCTTTACTGCCTCTTGTATGTTAGCTCCTCAGGCTGTAGTCTAATAGATTTTGCCTTCTCACAATTGACACGAAAAGGTATTAGAGATAGAAATGGGGGTAGTGAGGGCTAAGAATAGAGACCTAAAAGAGGCAAGGTTGGCTTCGCAGTTCTGTGTGAGAAGGGAAGTACCTGGGGCTAGATAGCAGCCAGACACATACATGGAGGGGCTTTCTGTTAGGGGGAATTCCACACAGTCACACTGCCCTTGTAAAGAAAAAAAAGAAATGTTTTCCTGAAACTTCTTATCTAATCATATAGGAAGGACTACAACTTGATTCCATTTTTCATAAAAGAATAACCCTTTTAAAAATCAAAGCTGAATGGTGGCCAAGGCCAGGCCTATGATTCTGTGTGGCTTGTATGCTTTTAAAAGAAAGAATATTATCAATTTAGACATCAATGCAATGGAGGTCCAGAAAAAGCCCCGGATGTTCAATAGGCCACATCTTTGGGTCGGGGAGGGGAGGAGGTAATTTCTTAAGAAAATCCATCCCAGTGTTTCCTTCAGGGGTGCTTGCTAATTTTTTACTCACTTGCACTTTGCTCTGGGGTTTATGGAAGACTGCCCTGCTTTCTCTCAAGGTCCTCTCTTCCTGCCCCCTGGGTGATGCTAGAGGCTGATAGATACAGTTACAGTTGCACGTCAATTACAAGATCCTTGTGAGAGAGCTCAGTTTGTGGTTTCTAAGGTTAAGGGACCTTCCGGAGCCCGATAGATATTAGAAATATGAGAAATGGCTGGGCAGGGCTGGTGGTAAGATCATAACAGATACAGGGACTGCAGGGAACTGAAAAGTCAACGCAAACAAAACATTAAAAATGTTGAGACAAACAAGCCAAATACTGGGCAGACTAACTGAAATACATCCATTGGCCGAATCTGACCCAAAGGCCTCCCGATAGCAAACTCAATTTCATCGTCCTCTAATACAAAAAGAGCACCGAGGCCTCAATAGAGGGAGCAATTTTCCCAAGGTCACACAATTTACAGTCAGACCTGGAATCCAGACCTCCTGATTCCCACTGAATATATTACGTTGGTACTCATAGACCTTCTTAAGACAAAAAAGATGATTCCTGGGCAACCTTCCCCTTTTGGGGCCATTCCATTCCCTGCTCCAGCCCAACCTTTCTCTTGCCAATTGCTGCTATTTACTGGCATGATGTTTCCCATGCTGAGTGTGTTCACCACATGATGCCGTCAACATTTGCCAGCTGCAATTGCAGGCCCGTCGGTTCTTTGCAGAGCAGCCTTTCCTGTCCTACTGTGCCAAGTTCCTATTCACACAAGGCCGTGCAGCTGGGAACCAGATTTGTCCTAAAAGACTTTTTCCTCAGCTTAGTGACACTGCTCTCTAACTAGAAGCATAGAATATAAACAAGAAGGGTTGAAGGAATTCAGTCTGCTTTCTGTTTGAGTCTGAGTTAGCTCCCAGAGCTGCTTTTGCAGGTTCCTTCTGGGAATGGGGTGGGGCATGGATATCCACAGCAACCATGCATTCTTTCCTTTCCAGCTTCTTACTTTCTTGTACTTCTGATATAGAGGCCAGACATGGAATAAGGGAGGGGTGTGTAGGTATAAGGTGGCAATGGTCACAAGCTCAAATTTTCTTTGGACTGTATTCGGGGGCAGGATGGCACATGGAAGAAACAGGATACCAAAAGAAAGACTCTGTTGCTTCCAAACCCCTCTCTTTCCAACCTGCCATTTGCCTGAATATCTACCATTTGAGTTGCTTCTTTTGGAAGAAGGCATGGAAGGTCCCTGATTCAAGATCTTCTTTAGAGGAGAACAAAATAAGCTATCATTAGTCCCTAACACCTTATCATTAGATTAATTTATTAGATTTAGCAGAAAGGGAATGAGACACAATACATAAATGTGATAGCGGGCCAGGGACCAACTTAAAGTATTTCTCAATAGGGGTGACATTGGCATTTTGCGCAGCCAACTCTTTGTTGTGTGGCTCTGTCCTATGTATTCAGGACATTCAGCATCTGTATTTCAGGACAGATGTATTTCAGGACATAGCCACCACCCACTAATGTCATTAATGACTCCCAGTCATAAGAATCAAACCAATACCTCCTCCATTTTCAAATGTCCCTGAGGAGATGGAACACCTCCCCTACTGACATTCAAAAAGCATTTAATACAATACTACCTGGAGAGAACAGGCCAGGTTGTAAAATCTGAGAAGCCAGAGAACATAAGAACACTAGGTCCTGGGAAGGAAGTTGTCCAAGTGGTTTATGAGTCTGGCAAAGGGTGTTTTTCACTATGAACATTCCTGAAGAATAAGTATTGTCTGAGAGATTCATGCTAAGCAGAGTCAGTGCATGCTCTGTTCATGGACAGGTAAGGTCTCTGTGGTTTTAGCATTAACAGGCTGTATGGAAGATGAGGCCATCCATGTGACCTGAAAGGCATCAGACCACCAGACCACCCCAAATTTCCATGTTAGCCTGCTCATACCTCGCCTAGATTTTTCAGCTGAGATTCCCTGCTAAGGGATTGACTATCTAAAGCTGTTCATATTTTCTGAGAGGAGTGTTTCTCTGAGAGAAGGACCATGCTAATGAATATCCTGGCCTTCTTTGTGAGAAGACTGGTGGGATACTTCAGTGTCTATTCACCAGAGGGGATAGTCAGTAAGAGGTAACATTAGCCCCTGGGTATTTAGGAACACCAGGCCTCAGAGTCAGTTGCAAATCTAACACAATGATTTCAGGAAAGAGACTATGGGACTATGGAAAGAGTTGGCCACTGCCCTTATCAGAGCAGCAATGGGGTCCTGAGCCTTTAGGAAGAGGCAGAAGAACTCAAGGTAGACTCAAGACTGTCCCAGTTTTGTCAGGGGATTGTGCTGACCTAGATTGTTACCAAAGTCAGACCCTCTCATCCCATCCCTAAAGCTGGTGCCAGTGCCCTGGAGTCTCCAAACAATGAAGAAGTCCAGTAGTACACCAATAAGTGCTCTTACCTGAGAGGTCCAGCTACATCTTCCCCGAGCGTCTCTCGCATGCGTCATTTTTAGACACTGACTGACTGCCTTTTCCTCCATACTCTCAGTACTGAGGCACGAGCTGTGCTGTGTTTGAGCAGAAATGGGTGGATCTGAGAGCTGAATGCTATATAGTATACTGCCACATCAACCCAGGAGCTGAACTGAATTGCTGTGTGACCACTGATGCCTGGCAACATTTTAGTCCCATAAATCACAGAATTGTCTAATAGTGCAACAATCTTTTTATCCTCCTATAAATGTCCCACCAGCAATCCCTAGATTAACATACAACATGCTCTGCAGAATTTTGAATGTGCTCAAAGAAGAAACAGCCTTGAAATGGAGGCCAAATCCCATTTTGAAAAATACCACCTCAACACAGGATGTCTGCAACCTCTTGATTGAGCAGGCTCTCAGTTCAGGGATAAGAAGAAGGTGGAGAAAAGGCCTCGGCCCTGCCTTCAGCCACACGGGCCTGGTGAGCAGTGGAACTGGAAGCTGATCTTGGGCTAAGATGGCCCTGAAGAGCCCTGTCCCTGTTCAAGTGTATCTTCTTGAGCTAGGTTCCCTGGTGCCCATGACTCAGTCCCTTTAGATCACCAGGGGTATGGTGGGAACAGGTATTTTGCAAAATCACCATTTTGTAAGTGATGATGCCAAAAATAAAAGCTCGCATGCACTGAATGCTTACTGGGTAGAAGATTTCCCAGTGCTTCGCAAGCATTATCTCATTTTTTTCTTCAGATTAAACCTATGAGATAGGTAAGTAGCCCCATTTTAAAGATGGAAAACTGAACAACTGAAAGGTCAAATGACTTGTCTACGATCACCCAGTCAATAACTAAGTGGCACAGCAAGAAGAAGAGCTGAAATTCATCAGGTTTTCACTAGGGCTTCAAAACTACTCATCTGGCAAAGCAGTGAGAAGCCCAGGCAAGCAGGATATGAAGAGACAGGGGAAGGACTCCAGTTCTCCAGAAGTAGAGAGCTAAAGATTATTGTAATGGGGCTCTGGCTAGGGTATGCTAAAGCAAGACAGGAAAATCGAAGGAGGATAAAATTTGCCTTTTTGGAGGATGGTTGTTATTGTTCCCAAGCTGTGGGAGCAATAAAAACACAAAAGCTTGTCTTCCATGGGGCTAAGACACAGGCGTAACACAGTTATCATGCAGCTTTAAGATCAGAGAGTACGTTTTGCCTGATCCGGCAGCTCAGTGCAGAGGCCCTCTTCTGATGTGGACATTCCAAAAAAGTATATATCTTAAATTACTTGCCCCACCTGTACCTGACGTGTTGGAGAATGAAGCAAATAGCAAGATATTCGATAAATATTTATTTGTTAAAAGGTTTTTTTAAGGTGCTTCTAAGAAACATTCTGGGCTCAATTCAGTCACCATATCTTTTTCCCTTGCCTTTGCCCGTATAGAAAAAGCTCATTGCTGGTCACAAGATCCTTTGGCTCTGCAGCTCCCTCCCAGTTCCTCATTAGATACATAGTTCAACCAAGAGGTGGCATTGTAAATTCCAGTGTCAGAGGAGGCAGAAATAAAAATGTGTGGTTTTGAACTGAGACTGGCCTTGCCCAGCCTTCAGGCAGTTAAGAACATCTTGATTTGAGTATCAAGCAGAAAACACTTCAAAATACATTGGCAAGGTCTCTCTAAATCCAGCCTCTCCTGGCAAAATAAGAAGGATTTGAAGCCTGCAGATAAAGAATGTGTTGAAAAGACTAGTCAGGAAAATGAATTTTAAAAAGGAAGAAAGGACATGTGATTATCACCATCTACAATCTAACAGAGCAGCCTACAAAAGAAGGCAAGAATTTCTTAGTTGACTGCAACATGCAAGGTCTTGGGTTTGGACATTTTGGATGATTGAAACTGGTAGGAGCACTGTTGGTGGTGGTGCTGCCGTGGATGATAATCATAACAAATCATAATAGTGTTTACAAGGGATACAACTTATAGGGCTTTATGTTGTTCACATGCATTGTGTCAGTTGATTCCCCATGAGTATTCCTGATCTACCATATTTTAAAGAGAGGTACAGAATGATATAGATACTCGTCCAAGGTAACCAGTATTGCGCAAAATTGTTTAACTTGGACTAGAGAGTGTCATTGATGGACACCCTATGCGGTGTTTTCTGCTAAACAAACACTCAGCATCTGTAAACAGAGGACTCAGCACCTCTGAAGGACTTGTAATGGCTGAAGCGACACTGGTCAACATGTGGTTCCTCTAAACTCATGCCTTCCTTCTTCTCCACTCCTACCCCTAGGCTTCCCCACCCCCTCAACTTGCTCTCCCTCTATCTTTCTACTAATCAAAACCTTTCCTTTCCTTCAAAACCCAATTCAGCTGCATCCAACTATTTCAAACCACTCTGACTTGTCTCTTCTCTAAACTCTGTTTGGGGTCATGCATCCTTTTGAGAACCTGATGAAAGCTACAGACCTGTTCCCTCAAGGAATATGTGTAGACGTGCATGGCATATGTGCTCACATACACATGTGCATGAACACACAAACACACACATGCGCACGTGCGTGCACACACACACACACACACACACACCCTTTTGAGTATACAATTTTAATCCTTGGGCTAAAGAAGGAATTTCCCTCAAGGCCTGATGAAGGAAACCTGGGAATAGGTAGCTTGCATGTTGAAATCATTCTCCTCCCTTGACTTTCACCCCATCCTTTCCTGCCCACCCCATCCACACCCTATACCTACCCACTCCACCCTCTGTCCTCTGTCCTCAGGCTGCTCTTGATTACCCAGGGTTCATCACCACTATGGCCCTTCTTCACCCATCTAGGAAGTCTCAATCTGTCAGGCTTCAGTCTAGCTCAGTGAGCTAGCTCACTTGACAGCCAGATCCTAGATATTAAATTTGGCAGAGATCTGCAGATCAATCAGGACTTGCATTTGAATAAGTTCTTCTGGAAATAATAGGGAGATAAAGGTGGAGGGGGAGCCCTTTCAGAATACTGCTCATTTCACCTATGAGAAGGACCATTTCTGTCCTCTCTAAAATACATGATACACTTGATGTTGACCTACACAGACCTGAGATAATGGATTATAACTAAATATGAGGACAAGACAAGAGTCAAGTCACTTAGATGACCTTCCCTATACAGCTATCTTCAAACTTTTTGTATCTGAGATTCCTGCCACTGCTGTCACTGACATACCGTTCTTTCACATTTCATATTTTTTCGACCCCAACAGTTTTCAGTCAGAACTACAAAAGGGGAAAGGTTTAGGAAAAGTGTCCTTACAGAAGTTGGCTCCATCTCCTTCTTATGGTAGAAAGACCACTGGATGGAAAGATGGTTTCGGGAGGCCACAGTGGTGGTGTAGATGCAGACGAGAGTGACATTAGATCCAACAGTCACGTCCACGAAACTGTGTGGGATGGTCACTTGCACCGCAGTAACCTGGCCTGAAAAGATAATCATCAAAAAAAATAGTACATACTCACATTCTGATTGCACTGTTTCATCACAAAACGCTTACAAAGACATCTTATTTGAGGAATCTAAGGTGAGGGAGAGAAGGCAGAATAAACTATACAGGAAAACTGAGCTTTCTTGGGGCTCACTACGGTAAGGGGAGGGGAATTTCTAACAAATTATCATATGAAGATACTCAAATCCTAGACAATGGTGAGATGATAACACGGAACTGAGAATTTCTTCCGTATTAAGGGCAGCCTTACACAGGTTCTTAAAGTCTTGTCCAGGGACCCAAAACTGTCAGTACAGAAAACAACTGATCCAGTCTTCCCAGTATCAAGGGAATTCCTTGAACGTGGGGCTTTTAGTTTTAAAATCAGGTAAATCTCAGGCAAAACATGTCAGTTTCTTTTCGGGATCCTCAATAATTTTTAATTGAAATTTTTACTTATGTATTTGTAGACTCACATACAGTTCTAGGAAATAAGACAGATCTCATGTACACTTTACCCAGTTCCCACCAAGGGTAACATTTTGTAAGACGATAGTATAATATTACAACCAGGATACTGACATTGATAAAACCTATCAACCTTATTCATATTTCTCCAGTTTTACATGCACTCTTGTGTGTGTGCACGTGCATATTTAATTGTATGTTTTCTCACATGTAGATTTGTGTAGATTTACCACTAAAGTTAAGAGATTGAACAGTTCCATCATCATAAAGACTTCTCACGTTGACATTTTTATAATCACACTCACCTCCATCCTGCATCCCATTCCTGTCCCCATGGACAACCACTAATCTGTCTTTCATTTCTAAAATTCTTTCATTTCATAAATGTTATATACAAGGAATCATGACAACCTTTTGGAATTGACTCTTTTCACTCAGCATAATTATCTAAAATTTCATCCAAGTTGTGTATATCAGTAGTTTGTTGTTTTTTTTATTGCTAATAGTACCTGATGATATATATGTGATACAGTTTGTTTAACCGTTCACCCATCTAAGGACATCTGGACTGTGTCCAGTTTTTGGGTATTGGATAAACTCCAGTGAACATTCAGGTATAGATTTTGCATGAAAATAAATTTTTATTTCTCTGGGACAAATGTCCAAGATTGCAATTGCGGGGTCATATGCTGGTTGCATATTTAATTTTATTTTAAAAACCAGCCACACTGTTTTCCAGAGTGACTGTACCTTTATACATTCCCAACAAAAAGGATTCAGTTTTCCTGCGTCCTTGTCAGCATTTGGTGGTGTCACGGGTTTCTACTTTAGCCATTGCGGCAGGTATGAAGTAATGTAATCATTGTGGTCTTAATTTGCATTTCTCAAATAGATAATGCTGATGCTAAATATCTTCTGATGGGATTATTTTCCACTTGTACAACTTCAGCAAAATATCTGTTTATATCTTTTGCTCATTTTCTAATTGGATTGTTTAGTTTTTTTAATGATTGAGTTTTGAGAGTTCTCTATATAATCTAGATTCAAGTCTTTTGGGGATACAGAATTTTATTTCTTCCTTTCCAATTTGTATGCCTTTTATTTCTTTTCATTGCCTAATTGCAGTGGCTATAACTTCCAGTACTGTGTTGAATAAGAGAGATGAGAGTGGACATCCTTGCGTTGTTTCCAATCATAGGGTAAAAGTGTTCAGTCTTTCACCATGAAGTACAATGTTAGCTGCAGGTTGCTTGTAGGTGTTTTTATCAAGTTGAGATAATTCTCCTCTGTAGCAGGTTGCCTTGTGTCCCCAAAAAAGATAAGTCCAATTTCTAACCTCCAGTATCTGTGAATGTAATACATAGATACTGTGGATGTAACACCGTGTACGTAGATATTGAATGTAATACACAGTATCTGTGTATTACATTTTTAAAATTACATTAAAATAAATACCTGTGCCACCTGAAAAAAAAAATAAAAAAATAAAATTACATGTAATACTGTGTATTACAGTATCCAGTATCTGTGAATATAAATTCTTGTTTAGAAATAGGGTGTTTGAAGATGTAATTAATGATCTTGAGATGAGATCATCATTGATTTAGAGTGGACCCTAAATTCGATGACTGCTGCCCTTACAAAAAAATTGAGAGGGAAACTTCACACAGAGACGCACAAAGGGAAAGGCTCTGTGAAGACAGAAGCAGAGATTGGAACGATGCATCTACAGTCCAAAGAATACCGAGAATTGCCAGCAGCCATCTAGGAGAGACTTATGGTACGGATTCTCCTTCAGAGACCTCAGAAGAAACCAACAGTTCGATTTAAAACATTTGGCCTCTAGAACTGTGAGAGAATTAATTTCTCTTGCTTTAAGCCACCCAGTTTGTGGCAATTTGTTATAGCAGCTCTGGGAATTGAATACACCATCTAAGTTGCTGGGTTTTAATGACGAATGGGTATTGGATTTTTTTCAAATGCTTTATCTGCATTAGTTGATATGATCATATTTTTTTTCTTTAGTCTATTGATATGGTGGATTACACTGAATGCTTTTTGAATGTTGAACCAGCCTTACAAACCTGAAATAAATCCCATTTGGTCATGGTGTATAATTATTTTCATACATTGTTGGATTCAATTTGCTAGTGTTTTGCTAAGGATTTTTGTGTCAAGGTTCATGAGAGAGATATTGGCCTGTAGTTTTCTATTTTTGTACTGTTTTTGTCTGGTTTTGCTATTAGGATAATACTGGCCTCATAAAATGAGAGGAAAGTGTTCCCACCTCATCTATTTTTTGGAAGAGAATGTGTAAAATTGATGTTAATTATTCTTTGAATCTTTGCTAGGATTATTGGGTAAAGCTATCTAGGCCTGAAGATTTCTATTATAGGAATTTTTAAAATTATGAATTCGATTTCTTTAATGGCTATAGAGCTATTCAGATTATCTGTTTCATATTGGATGAGTTCTAGTGGTTTGCTGTTTTGGAGAAATTGGCCACTTTTTTCTAAGTTGTCAAATATATGAATGTAAGGTTGTTCATAATATTCTCTCATGCCGGGCGCGGCGGCTCAAGCCTGTAATCCCAGCACTTTGGGAGGCCGAGGCGGGTGGATCACGAGGTCAAGAGATCGAGACCATCCTGGTCAACATGGTGAAACCTCGTCTCTACTAAAAATACAAAAAAATTAGCTGGGCATGGTGGTGCGTGCCTGTAATCCCAGCTACTCAGGAGGCTGAGGCAGGAGAATTGCCTGAACCCAGGAGGCGGAGGTTGCGGTGAGCCTAGATCACGCCATTGCACTCCAGCCTGGGTAACAAGAGCGAAACTCGGTCTCAAAAAAAAAAAAAAAAAAAAATTCTCTCATTATCTTTTTAATGACTGCAGGATCTCTAGTGATATTCCATGTTTCATTTCTGATATTAGTGATTTGGGTCTTAACTCTTTTTATTAGTCTTGCTAGAAGTTTGCCAGTTTTATTGATTTTTTTTTTCAAAAAAGCAAATCTTTTTATCATTTATTTTCCTCTATAGTTTTTCTATTTCAAGTTCATTGATTTCAGCTCTTTAGTATTCCCTTCCTTCTGCTCATTTGGTTTATTTCGGTCTTCTTTTATAGATCCTTGATGTAGAAATTTAGATTATTGACTTAAGACCTTTCTTTATTTCCAATGTAAGCATTTCATGTTATAAATTTCTCTCTCAGAATTGCTTTAGTTACATGGTGCATATTTCAAAACGTTGTGTTTTCATTTTCATTGAGTTCTATGTATTTTTTAAAATTCATTTTGAGATTTTCTCTCTGATCCATTGATTATTTAAAAGAGTGTTGTTTAATTTCCATGTGTTTAGATACTTTTCTGTTACTGATTTCTAGTTTAATTGCATTGTAGTCGGAGAATATACTCTGTATGATTTCAATTAGTTTAAATTTGTTAAAGCTTTTTTTTTATGACCAAGCACATGATCTATCTCAGTGAATGTTCTGTAGGTGCCTTAAAAAACTGTGTTCTGCTTTTGTTGGGTGGAGTGTTCAATATATAGAGATATAATTTAAAACCACTATGAATAAATCAATATAAATTCATAAAAATGTTCAATTAGATTCTGTTAGTTGATTGTCTTTTTCAGATCTTCCATGTATTTACTGATGTTCTGTCTAGTAGATTTATCAGTTTCTGAGAAAGGGTATTGAAGTTCCCAACTATAATTGGGGATTTGTCTCTTTCTTGTTTTAGCTTGATCAGTTTTTGTTCATGAATTTTGAGACTTAGTTGTTTGGTGTGTACTCATTAAAGATCATTATATCCTCCTGCTGGGTTGATCCTTTTATCATAGGTAATGTCTCTCTTTATCTCTTTTAACTTTCTTTGCTCTGAAGTCTACTTTATCAGATATTAATGAAGCTTCTCCCGATTTTTAAAATATTAATACTTATATGTTACGTCTTTTTCTATGTTTTTACTTGCAATCTTCCTATGTCACCAAATTTAATGTGAGTTTCTTGTGAGTAGCATATACATTAGTTCCCCCTTATTCCAGGGAGATACATTCTAAGACTCCCAGTGTATGCCTGAAACCACGGATAGTACTGAACCCTGTGCATAGTATGTTTTTTTCCCTATACACACATATTTATGATAAAGTTTAATTTATAAATTAGGCACCATAAGATATTAACAATAATAACTACCAATAAATAGAACAATTATACCAATATACTGGAATAAAAAGTATGTGATTGTGTTCACACACGCACACTCTTTCTCCCAAAATACCTTATTGTACTATACCATGGGTTTCTGACACCTCAGAAAGTAAAACCACAGATAAGAGGGGACTACTGTAGTTGTATTCACATCCAATATAATTATTTAATGTAATTATTGATACATTAATTCTTGTTTGCTATTTTATTATTAGTTTTTTGTTTGTTTCCTCTAGTTCTTATTCTTCTGTTTCCCTTTTCTTGCCTTTCTGGCAGTTGCTTGAGCATTTTTTACTATTCCATCTTGACTTATT